ATATATATATATATATGGTATTTAAAAAAATATTTACACGATTAAACTCAATAATGTCAAACTATATCTAATTTGAGTATTTTTAATTATTTCTATAAATCTGTTTCTACTCAATACGTCGTTAATTTAACTAAAACAATGGTTAATTTAACTAAATAATTTAACTTAAGAAAAAATGTATTTTTTATTCAAATCTAGTTATCTCTTTATTGATACCTTAATATAGATATTTAGAAATTAACTAAAAATGGATTAATTTATATTTTGACACATGAAAATTAAAAATAACAAAATCATTTAACTTAAGGATTGGGTTACCGTTCTTCTTTGATATATAACAGTGCAAAGTTTTATTTTTCTTGTTTCAGTCAAAATGAATAATGATTTTCCTCTATCAAATCGGAAAGCTTCAATATGAGAATTTAATTGGTTTTTTTGTATTTAATTTGTATTATAATAGAAGAAACAACATCCAAAATGCTAAGGTTCAAGTACCGCGAGGCGAAAGACATGATGATTCAACGATGATTCAAGAAAGTTCTTTCATCTCTCCAAAATAGTTGCGAGAACAGAATGCTATAACATTTGTTATTCATAATTATGAATAACGAGAAATTCAACTAAATTTATTTTAACATCTTTGTGTATTATAATTTTTAGCATCACATTTAAATGAACGTTTAGAAATGCAAAAACTGTCATCGTTAAAAATAATAATAAATTATCTTGGATGTGAAATATGATTATATGTAAATGAAAGGTATGACATTTCATTTAGGTATAATTAATGAAGATTGTAACGCTACGTATAAATCCTATATTAATCGATACTGAGAGCCGAGATTTTTAAACAAGTAAAAATGATTTAAGATATAATTTAAACTCCCCCCCCCCCCCCCTCTCTCTTTCTCTCTGTTCATAGTACCATAATGTTCAAACAAACACTAACAAGAAATTTCTAAGGAATTCCACAGTTACTTTGAAATTTAAGTGGATACCTTCGCATTTTTTATTAGATATCGTAGCCAAAGAAAGAGAACAGAAATCCTTAGATCTATAATTTCTTGTTGAAACTACACAAATCACAAAAGAAGTAGGAAAGATATTCGCGAGAACTCTTACGCGTTTGCTATTTTCACAAATTTTGATATTTATCAAGATATAAAAGATAAAAAGAAAAATTTCACATTTGTGTATAACTTTTAAATTGAAAATTTTCATTAACGATCTTCATAGCGTTGCTACTGAAATGAAAGATACTGTCAACACGTAACTTGCTACACATCAAAAAAATTTCAAAGAGAACTAGTCTTACTTCTACATCTCCGGCTTTGCGGAAAGAAAGGAAACAGAGAAATATGCGAAAAAATTAAGAGGGGAGGGAAAGAAAGTTCTCTCTCTCTCTCTCTCTCTCTCTCTCTCTCTCTCTCTCTCTCTCCCTCTCCTTCTCCCTCTCCCTCTCCCTCTCCCTGCCCCTTCCTCTTTCTCTCTGTTTGTCTGTCTCTGTCTTTGACTTCTCTGCGACAAACGAACCAAGGAGACTAACGGAAAAAACATTGTAACTCAGCACGTAAAACTAGGTCATCTTTTTGAATCGAGCCACCAATTGTCAGCGTTAATTGAGTGGCAAGGGAAAAAATGGGACGACATATTTGTGGGAGAAATGATTCATAACGAATAAAATTCGTTATCTTCCCATCATAAAATTCTAACACGATCAATATACCATGAAATTTCTCTCTGCCACTACAGAACGTTCTCGGATATATAACATGCGAATCTATTGACTGTATATCAAGTGAAAAATGGATTTCGGAAAAATTTCGGAAAAAGCTTACAACTTCTTCCAGCTCAATGCTCCTGCGAATAACAGTTTCTCATATAATAAGTTTGGTACCAATAAATGTTCAGAGAATGCAAATATGTCAAATATTTATGTATCGCATATTGTTATCATCAATAATACAAGTGTGATAATATTAACATTGCTAGTAATCCAAGAACTTTCGCTATTTTTTAATTACAGTGATGTTTATCTTTATTTAACGAAAATTCGATCCTTGAAATTTCTTACAATTTAGAATATTAAACATACTTCTTTTTTAACTACAATATTTCTTCTATTATTAATTTAAATTTTGTATTCTTCTATATTAAACTAATATAAATTAATGTAATTAAAAAATAATATTTTATAAAATGTCTTCATTTTTGTTAACAAAAATTTGACTTTAAATTTCTCTGTGAAAATAACCAAATATTTTTGAGATATACTTTATATTTAAAGAGTAATTTCATCAATTTAAAAAAATCGTAAAAATTAAACGACAGAAATTAAGCTTGAAAGTGTAGTGAAATTAACACTTTTCTGACAAACATCGTAAAAACAACTCTGTGATGTTAAATTGCGAGTGGTATTTTTAATGGAAAAGCATGCCGGACATATAAACGTGAGAAGTTTCAAAGATAATTTGAATGTGACTACGAAAATAAAAATGGATAGGAACGCTAACATTTCGTAAATTAATTAAATTAATTAATTAAATTCCTGCTTTTCACGTGTTTGCTCATACTGATACCAGCAAATAATTGTAACTAATTAAAAGTGAATTGAAATTATGTCTCTGTTTCGACATTTGCACATAATTAACTTCTATTTCTATTCTCTATTCGCGACAATGCGATAATTGCACAAAAATAGTCTACATATTTAAAAAATTAAATGCGCCGGTATTTCACTCGATATATATTTTTTTTCCTTATTCACGTTTAGACTGTACATTACGTAATGGAAAATTTTGAATTTGAGTAACTGCCTACATTATCGATAAATAACTGTAGCCAAATGTACGAATTTGCACATACGCGAGCGTACATGCAATAAATGTCCACCTATATATCGCGCTTAGAAACGACCACGTAAACGCCGTTATAAATGCATTACGAGCCCCATCAGTGTTATAAATGCACTCACGCCATCTAATACTTTGTAGAAGCACGAAATACTTCGTATGACGCAGTTACGAGGATCTCGTAGTAGCGAGTAGTGAATGTCTTACGCGTGCACACTGAATTAATATATTTATATTAACAGCAAAGTGCTTATATTCTGTTTTCTTTTTAAACAATAACATTATCACAATAAAAGCCTAGGCATCCTAGATTATTACTGCATCTAAATCTAAATGACAGAACAACGTTTCGAGTAAAATCAAATATAGACCATTTATTACGTATTTACATTTCGTTTTATATTTTTGCATTTACGTTGTATTATTTCTGTCAATAGGCGACAAAATATATAGAAACACAAAAGCTTTTACATACATTCATCAGCTAAAAGGTTGCAACACTTTTTTCAACTCAGGGTTTTGGAACTCAGCCTTGTTTATGATTGAATTTAAAAATGGTTAGCGTCATAAGTAAGAATCAATCGCTCAATGAGCAGACTACATTCCGAAACTTATCGAAAAAAGTGTTGCAATCACTTGATGAGTGTATATACTACAGTCATAATATACAAATGTCACTAAACTAAATATTAAATTAAATGTTTTCTTCGGAAACTCTTATGGAAAGGTGAAAGTTTCTATTTCAGAAATTTTTTATAGAAATTTGACATAATGGATTTCCTTACTAATAATGATAATAATACAATGGTCGAGAAAGATAATTAAAAAATTGATAACAGTCAAAATGATGTGTCAAATATTATGCAGTGACCAAATATTATTAAACGTGTGTAAAAAAAGATTAAGTTATTATTCAGTATTATCAAGTATTTATAAAATTAAAAACAAAATTTCGGCGAAATTAAAAAAAAATTTCTAGCCGATTTATTCTTTTTTTTTTTCATTTAAAATTTGAAATTTTTCAATTCCCTTTTCAAATAATTTCGGAATTTTTAATTTTACTTAACCCTAGAACACTATTGTACATATACATGCAAGTGAGCGTTAAGCTATGCTTCAGCGATCAGCAGAGATCCCAATTTATCTGTTAAAAGCTGAAGCCAAATTGAGCACTATTCTAGTATCATCCACCAAAGCGTGAACAAGCTTTTAAAAATTCAGTCTGTTATATATCAATTTCAATCTCCTGATAATCAATATTAACAAAGAGCGTGATAAGTAATTTCAATTTTTAAACAAGTTTATGTTTTATATTGTATTTAATTGATAACTGTTATGAGAAAACATTAGACTAATATATTCCATATCATTTTAAGATTGAATTTAATATAGTATGTTTTATTCTTTCTTTTTTTTTTAAGTTAATAATTAGATTATTTGTAACTGTTATTATGCGTAATTATAGTAACTATAGTTTTTCGACAATAAAGGATTTTTATTTTTACACTAACAACCGCGCAAAAAATTCTCATTAGCTCTTATTTGTTTTTGTTTTTTGACATTCTCGAGAGTTTGATTACTTGTTTTATTAGATTATTTGTGTTTATAAAGTTTTAAATTACAAATATTTCGTTAGGAAACGTATTATAAAATGTATCAAAATCTTATGTTAATACATTAATTAAGAATACTCTATTTCATACATAAAATTTACAGCATTGTATCACTCAATGTCAATAGGTTCTAGGGTTAACATAAACTGATGGAAAATTGAAGAACCTTTTCCATCGATCTAAGAAATACATGCGGTTTTCTATATTCCTTAAAACTACATATCTCAGGTGTTACATCATGGCACGACTTTGGTGCATTGGGATTGTGAGGGTGGTACCTCGAGAACAGCATTGGTGTTCGCACGCGTCGATCGCGCTTGTGGCACTTTCGTGTGGGAAAAGCCACCCTGGAGTCCTTTAAAAACGGCGCAAGTTGGAGGTGCCGTTCTCGCAGAGGTTTCGCTAACCACGAACCCGGAGGATGCGATACCAGCGGGCCTAGTCGGCAGGTACACGCAGCAGCAGGCTGACTGCGCTTCTGTCACTTTGGAGGAGGGATATCTCGACCTGGGATCGGTGAAAGAGATAATGATCGGCTGTTGCGATCGCGACCGAGAGGCTGATCTCAGGAGCATCTGCAAGAGATACGGCCTACCTGGCTCCGACTGCTGCATCGGCCTCATGTATGGCTCCAATCTTCCGGACAATCGACTGATCTTCCTACTTTGCCCTCCCGCTCTTAGCAAGTACGTATGAATTATTTCTCTAGTTTTGTGCGCATCGATTAGTTTTCGAATATTTCTCACCAATAATGCGGAGGAAGAAAAGGAGATTCGAAAGTTATCATATTTCATATAATTTAATTTAAAAAAATAAAAATATATTCATTTTTTATTAACGAAATTAAAGATGCTTAATTTTATGTTCTTTTTCAGAAAAAATTTTTTTTTATTTATGCGTTTGAGATTATTTCACAAATATTTTTTTTTAATATAATTATTTTATGTGTTATATGTCACAAACTTGTTCGTAAAAAATTACCAAGTAAATTAATTACTATGCCGTTAATCTATCTTTCCACCAGAAGATTGAGTTCATTAATAGTATTGTATATTAATGATATGTTCACAATATTCGATATAATTATTGATTATATCAAGTGGTGGGTTAATAACAAACATTTCATATGTATTTTGAACGGGTCTAACAATTCCCTCTAATAATTTATGATTTATTGTTAAATTACGTATTGTCCAGTTACATAAATTAATTATTAAGTAATTTGCATGCTGCTTTTAGAATATGGTACATGGGATTATGCTGGATATTGCGAGGCCTCAAACGACAACAACAGTTAACAGATCGTAGATCACGCTGGTTAAAAGAAAAATATCTTCAGTTATACTTTTCCTACTTGGAACAACCGATAGAAGGCTTGGAACAGCCGACGACAGCCGATGCTATTCGCATTTTCGGCGGTCGCGACTGGTCTATGACAGAAAGTGTTGGCACGCTGTCTCCAACGAGCAGCAGCACTTTACGCAGACGAAATGTTAAAGGCAAAAAGACAAAATCAATCGGCAACATTCATGCTTTAACCAAGGTTCGCACATAGACTTCTCGCATCTTTTACAATAAACATAAATTAGATTACAAATCAAATGCTCCAAATGCTATATTTTGTAAATAACTGTCTTCATCGAATTAAATAGTTTTGATTTAACGTAGGATCTAAGTATAAAACAATACGACTCCTCGACCTCGGATGGAGGTCTGTGCACTACACCTCTTCGTCATATCGCTGGAAGCAGAGAGTCTTTAACGAGGATCTTGCCAGCGTCACCGAGAGCAAGCCGAGATCGAATTCCGCCACGTAGTCCACCCGGTTCCGCCGACCGTATTACTTCCAACTTGCCTTATTCCGCTTTTCAAAGGTACATCATCTTCTCCCATTTGATTTATCATATCAAATTCTCTTTATCTATCGATTTTGAGCAAAAGATTTATATAGGTCGGGAATTATATAGATCGAAATAGAAAATCTTACAATTCCGTGTCGAATCTTATTTGAACATAAATCTGTATTATGAATTTAAGAAAGTTTTTTTATCTAAAGTGATAAAAATGAATAACTTTTGCTATTTTCTTTTTTTTTAAGCAACAAATCTTTACAGCTGAAACATCTTATGTTTATCATGTATTAACAATATTTTAGAATTTTTTTTATTAATATAGAGGTAATAATATCTAAAAAAAAAAAAGAATTATTTGAGTGATGAGAAAAGAATCTTTCGTGACAATACGTTTCGGACAATTTGAAAAAAAGCTATAAAATATTTTTATTTTTAAATTCTTTTTTCAATTTTGCTGCTTTTAAATATAATAAACAATTTTTTCGTTTGAACATCTTGACTTTCAAGTTAAATAATTTCGTCAGTTTTAGATGTAAATAATTAGAATATTTTAGAAATATATTTTTAAGATATAGAAAAAGTATGTTCCTAAAATAAGAAAACTGTAGAAACAAAGAAAATTTTAAAAATTTTATAAAATTTTATAAAAAAAAACCTTTAAATTATTTAAATTATTTATATTATAATCGACAAGTTTTCTTATATACGTCGCAATAACGCGTGCGTATTTTGTGCGTAGTTTATTATGTGTCGCCAGAGAAAAGGACAAGAATGGATCTGGTGGTATATCAGGAGGCTTTGAAGCTCCTTGGCATATGAAAGGAGTGCGCACTACCTCGATTATGTATGAGACACAATTAAACTTTGTGGAATTCGTTGCGCTTTTCCGATCATTCAGTTTACGAGCCAGAAAAGATTTGCGTGATCTGTTCGGTCAATTAGCAATAACATGTCGTAGCCAGAGTGATGGATCGTTAAGAGACTTCAACATTCGTCCGGTAGTGCTCAGACAAACCAGTGATGCCACTCCACAAAGAATCGGTAAGCCGATATAATTATTAAATTTTATGTGCAAATTTAAAAGAAAGAGTAGAATATGATGCACAAAATAATTCTTATATTTAATCATGATAATGGAAATGCAATAATAATTCTTAAATATAGATATGCGAGTTAACTTACTAAATAATAATTTGCATGGAATAAATTAGATTCACACTATTAAGTTTTATTATAACAATCATCCCAATTAGCATAACGTATGTACATTTGTCGATATTTACCAAAAATATTCATTTTATCGAAAATGGCCATAATTATATTGATTTCAATATATGAATGATTATTTTTAAAAATATTTATTTATATTAAAAAATAAACGTTTGAATGACTAATTTTTTAAATATTATTTAAAATGAGAAATCAATGTTTTACTGTGCCAGGTTTATTGACGAGAAACAACTCTATTGACTGTCACGAATACAAGACGGGCAGCAACCTACAAAAAAAGCAGATCTTTGATGCTGTTGCGGCGGCTAGTATAATCAATAATTGTTCGGGCGTGGATACGTCGAAATCCCAAGTAATTACTTTAGCAACATTTACGAAATTTCTGGAATCTCGGCAGCAGGAAAAGTTGAATGACGACGAAATCAAGGCACTGATCAAGGTAAATGCTTATGGGGTCAGAAATTCCCTCACGAAAGAATATTTACTGAATGGCCTCATTTCTCTCTGACAATTTTGTTTCGGATATACAGGAAAAATATCTTGTAATATATAATATTTTATACGCCAGACTATCGTTAAAGTGTTTTGCGAATAAACTGCTTTTATTGAAGACAATAAACGATCTTTCGTTTTATTCTATTATGACGAAATTGTGATTTCAATTTTCCTTATCTGGAAATAGAAGACTTAACTTTTCCCATCCTCATGCGACTGTCATGACACGCGCGCGCTCACACCAACGCGATGTAACACAATCAAATGAGCTCGTTTATTCTCATTTCAGAGGCATGAACCGGATCCGGCACTTCGCACACAGTGGTGTTTGTCTTTTGAGGGTTTTGCACGGTATATGATGGACAAGGACAATTATGCCTTCCCGAACGAGTATGCAACACCGTCCGAAACCGAAATGCAGCAGCCTCTGTCGCAATATTACATTGCAAGTTCCCACAACACGTATTTAACAGGACATCAACTCAAAGGAGAGTCCTCCGTACAGTTATATTCGCAGGTACGCTGTGACTTTCAAAAATAAACTCACATAATAAATTTCATAGAACTAAAATATGAATTATTTTTACTAGAATATTATTTCCTTTCATTATAACGAATTTCAAATTATACATTATTATTTAATAATTATTATTAATAAAATATAAAATATATAAAATATATA